CCTGCCAGTCTACCAGGGTACCGGCTATCTGCCAATCCACAGGGCACTGCTACACCACTGGAACTGAGCTACCCGCCTTTGCCCAGGTTTGCTGACCATCTGCAATAGAGGCCATAATCTCCAGCACTGAGCACTCTGTAACACTGGAGCATGAGGGTAAAGGTGGGAGCCAGTACTGGCAGGACTGAGGCCTTCTTACCCTGGTCTAAAGCCATGAGGCTAGAGGCCGAGGTGCCTGTGTGCACACTTCAGAAGCTGTATTTTAACCTTTCATTTTAACCTGCATGTTAACCTTTCACCTTCCCCACCAGGGTTCTGTGGGGTCTGTGAGCTATGGCGTTGGGTTCTGGACCCAGCCAAGCATTGAGATTGGTGTTCAAATCAGGAGGAAGTGGGATGGGAGCGCAGGACACATGTCTGGTCTCACAGGAAGTCGGTTTTTGACTGATGCTGTTGACCGTTCCCCCTTGTGAAGGTGGTAAAGGTCAGATACGGCTGTTCTCATGTGGCACTTGCTCTTTTTACAGATCGTATAGGGAGCTCTGGTGGCCTAGTGGCAAGAAGCTGTGCTGCAATCCCAAAGGCACACAGTTCAAGGCCACGAGCCACTCTGCGGGAGGACAGGCAATCTCCTCCTGAGCAATTAACTGCCTCTGAAAACTTGTCAGAGGGTTAGCTGTGGGTCAGTGCTGCCCAGACCATAAACAACATGCAGTAAACATCAGCTGGGGGTCAGTGCTGCCCAGACCATAAACAACATGCAGTAAACATCAGCTGGGGGTCAGTGCCGACCAGACCGTAAACAACATCCAATAAACAACATCCAGTAAACATCAGCTGTAGGTCAGTGCCGACCAGACCATAAACAACATCCAAGTTCCAGGCAGAGGAAAAGATTCAGGCTGAAGAAAGGAACCTGCTCCAGGGCACAACGGAAACAAACATCACATTACAATTATGCCACTAATTTTAACACAGAACAAAAAAACTGCTCACGACTTTCCAAGAACATCAGTCTTTATGATTGATCTGCTTCAGACCATGGGTTTCTCAACTGTTTGCTATTTATCTGAGAACTATATAATAAGGAGGACAGAAAGATCGAGGACGCCGAGTTGTGGTGCTGGAAAAGAGTACTGAACACATGATGGGCTGCCAAGAGAACAGAGGTCTGTCCTGCAGAGGGTGAAACCAGTTTGCTCCTTGGAAGCAAGGATTTTGAAGCTCCATCTCACTTACTTAGGGCATGCAGCCAGGAGGGACCAGTCCTTGGAGAAGGACACGATGTTTGAAAGGGTAGAGGGACAGCGCAGTAAAGGAAGACCCCAGAGGAGATGAATTGACACAGTGACAGGGGTAATGGGGACAGGTGTGCTGGAGGCAGTGAGGTGACTCAGGACAGGGCAGGCTTCAGAGGTGCTGTTCACAGGGTCGCTATGGGACACCGTCAACTGGACAGCATCAAACAAGAAGTCTCTATTGGGACAGAAAACTGCTTTTTCTTCCCCTGAGCCTTTGTAACAGCTAACGCCTGAGTCACTGTGCCACCAGGCCTATCTACGGTAAATTATAATGCGTGTCACTAGGGACTTGGTCACGGGTGACTTGACAGCACATAACTACACCACCACCACTTCAAAACATACTGCCACGTTCCCTGAGAAGTCGTTCACCTGGCCCAAGGTTCAGGTGGCGCAGCTCCCAGGAAACGGCAAAGGGCTGTTCTTCCTCAGCAGTCGGAACCCACGGCTGCTCTGTGAGATAAAGGGGGACAGTCTCCTCCCATCAAGAGGTACAGCGTCAAACACCCAGATAGGGGTTACCTGGAGTCAGAACCAAGTCAACAGCAGTGAGCCTGGTTTGGGAAGCACTTGGTTACTAACCACAGCAAGGTCAGCAGTTTAAATGTATCAACCGCTCAGCAGCCACTTATGTCAGGATTCAAACCCTGTGCTTCAAGAACCTTGTGAGGAAGTCCTACCCGGTCCTGTCCAGCCACAGAGCAGAATCCAGACAGCAACGTGCTTGGTCTGATTTACATGGTCAGTTAAGAGCGCAATAGTACCCTGTGTGCAATGCTGGTAGGTGCCATATGAACAACAGATCCAATCCCCATGTGCAACTGGTACTGCTGTTAGGTGCCCTCATGTCAAGTACACCTCGCCTGGCGTTCCTCAAGCTGAATGAACTGAAAAACATATTCAAGCCTCGAGATGCAGTACTAAAAGATGCTATAGGGAAAACACTGAATGACCAAGGAAGCATCAAAAAGATGAAGGTATACACAGCCACTGTACCAAAAAGAACTGGCCAACACTGAGATATTGAAGAGCAATGGTGTCACTCTGGAGACTAAGGTGCACCTGAGTCAGGCCACGGTCTTTGCAATCACTTGCTTGCTATGTGTCAGAG